TTCGGCGTAGACTTGGCGACTTGTTACAAGAATATACTCTCAAGCCAGGTTGCAGTTTGTTTAAGTTAGGTTATAGTTTGGTATGGACTGTAGCAAGGCAGCTTTTGGCCAAATTTAATTTAATTGAACGATTCTCTGATTTCGGTCAGCCTCACAATGATGGGAGATTGACCGAAAGCTTAGGCACCGATACCACTTTCTGTCACCATCGTAATAGACTTTTTTGGTCTCAGTATGGAATTCGCAGTTCACAGCATCCAATTAGTTGGATAATTCCTTGTGCTTTCTTCATGTTTTTGTTGTTCTGCCTGTAATAACACCATTTGATTTGCCAAGGATGACTACGCGCGAACATTTAAGACACTTGCGCTGATACAGTGCATCAGAGAGACTATTGTGATGTCTACTAGGAGGATAAAACCAAGAAACTGAAGCTCCTTAATAGGGTTCTTCAATAATCAAACAGATCAAAATCAAACAATTCAAAGGTGAGGCAATAAAGATAGTTCAAGCATATTTGAATCCACTTGGTCACAGGCTTTGTTTGGGGCATTATGTTGATTAAGGACCATAGTTTGCTATCAAATGACCTGATTTAATGATGTACCCACAGGTGTAGTTAGCCTGGTCACACAAGTCACAGTAGTCTGGAGACCCACTAGAAGAAACATAAAGATAGAAAACGTTGGCATAGCCAGGCTTGCCACCTACCAGTCAGGATGCCTGCAAACCAACTGTTAGTTGCTCTCCTAAATACATGAGTGTATTCATTTCCCCTGAGACATTTCCTTACTGCATTTGGTGACAGTGGCTAGAGAAAAAGAAGTATCAGTGTCCTTTAAAATTAAGCTTTCCGTAGTAGTAAAATCAGGGGAAAGATAAGTGCAGCATTTGGTTTTGTTCAGCACCGTATACAAGCCCCAACATGAGCAAAGGGGAGATCTAAAACTGTGATGTTTCATTAAATGTTTTGATTGAACACAAATGTTCTCATCCACCTTTCAGAGACTGGCTTTTACCTGTCTGAATGACAGCAAAGGTCTGATTGGCTATAAAAACCAAAATTTTTTTCTCAATTTGTGGATTAGCCTCAAATTCCATACACCTAGCACCAACTACCATCAAGAGTGAGCCCCCATGAACCCCATTTGAAACATTCCTCAGTAGAAACTAATTTATATTCATCTATTTTACAGTTAGTTCTAATTTCAGTTATTGACTTCTTTGGCTTCTAATTATATTAGGTACAATGGGAACTTTCAGAAGAAGCTTTTTGTTGTTGTCGTTGTTAGAGATAGCATCTGGCTCTGTTGCCCGGGCTGGAGGGCAGTTGTGTACTCACTGCTCACTGTGGCCTTCGACTCCTGGGCTCAAACGATTCTCCCACCTCAGCCTCCTGAGTAGCTGAGAATACGGGTGCATGCCATCACGCCAAGTGATTTTCTTGTTTTTTTGTAGAGATGGGGGTCTCTCTTTGTTGCAAAGGTTGGTCTGGAAATCCTGGCCTCAAGCAATCCTCCCACCTTGGCCCCGCAAAGTGCTGGGATTACAGTGTGAGCCTCAGTGATTAGCCAGGGAAAGCTATTTGGAAAGCGGCAGTGGGCCGGGCCAAATAGCAAGATCTGAACCAGTGAAGAGGCAGAACAGAGTAAGCAAATTCTTGGGTGACCCAATATAGCCCCTGGGGGCTGAAAAACAGAGCCGCCTAGAGGCATTTGAGCAGAGGTCAGTTAAATTTGTTTGCTACAATTCTCATAGTTCCTGGACAAGGTCTAGTGGGAAATTTCCTTTTATAATGGTGTCTTTATAGCATGCTGTAAGGGTGTATAACCATAGTTAGTGGAAAGGGACCTTACTGGATTTAGTCCAGTAACATTATACAAGAAATTATTCATACCCACCAGAGATAGTCCCCAGGTCTCACCCATGTGTTGTCTAGAAGCACAGTAGACCTTTCGCAGGCGTCACTAAGATAGGCTTTCTATACTTGGTGGCAATTAGGTTATTTATTGGAAAGATCAGGGTACTATTACCAGTGATTGTAGAAAAGCAAGTAGCAGCGATGTCTAGAATATCAAGATAGCTTTCCTCTCTTTCCTGGGAGTTTCAGAGTAACTCATCAGGAACACAAAGAGGAATTGGCATTAATGGAATTGTTTCTTGATTTGGGGCCATTAGCCCTCACACTCAAGAATTGCTCAGTTTTCTTTTTCTTCTTTTTTTTTTTTTTTGAGACAGAGTCTCATTCTTTTGCCCGGGCTAGAGTGAGTGCCGTGGCGTCAGCCTAGCTCACAGCAACCTCAGACTCCTGGGCTCAAGCAATCCTTCTGCCTCAGCCTCCCGAGTAGCTGGGACTACAGGCGTGCGCCACCATGCCCGGCTAATTTTTTCTATATATATATTTTTTAGTTGTCCGATTAATTTCTTTCTATTTTTAGTAGAGACGGGGTCTCGCTCTTGCTCAGGCTAGTTTCGAACTCCTGAGCTCAAATCCGCCTGCCTCGGCCTCCCAGAGTGCTAGGATTACAGGCTTGAGCCACTGCGCCCGGCCTTGCTCAGTTTTCTTGCTAAAGAATAAGCCTTTGCTGAAGCCCTCCAAAGATTATATGCTCATGGCTTTTCTTCTAAGGAAAGGGAGGGGTTTAGACATCAGAAAACAGGGAAGATAAAAAAGGATAATGTGTTAATGATGGCAGATAGGTCTTTATTTGCAATCTTGGAAAAGCTGTCCACATGTAGGATGCCATCTGCTTCTGGGGAAAAACTTCCCTGGTCTGCTTTACCTTAAGGTCTCCGACAGGTGTACACTTCCAACTGTCTGGAAAGGCTCTTTTGAATTGAGAGATGTGGATCTAAGACTCAAGTCCCTGAATAGTGCTATAGAGAACTTGGTATGGTCCCTTCAGACAGAGTTCCAGGGCAGTCTTTCTCTGGTATCATTTCCAAAACACTCAATCTCTGTGCTCGAGATTGTGAAAAGTTTGGTCGTCATCAATAGGTGGATCAGGAAGGTCTTCTTTTGCCCAGTGAAAATATGCTTTGGCAGAATGGCCCTTATCAAAAAGTCCCAAAACAACAAATGCTGACGTGGATGTGGAGAGATTGGAACACTCTTACACTGCTGGTGGGACTGCAAATTAGTACAAGGAAAGGAACGGAATTGTGGAAAGGAATATGGAGATACCACAAAGAGCTAAAAATAGAAATACCATCTTATCCAGCAATCCCACTACTGGGCATTTATCCAAAGGAGAAAAAGACATTCTATAATAAAGACATCTGCACTCGAATGTTTATAGCAGCACAATTCGCAATTGCAAAGATGTGGAAACAACCCAAGTGCCCATCGATACATGAGTGGATTAATAAAATGTGGTAGATGTATACCATGGAATACTACTCAACTACAAAAAACAATGGTGATCTAGCACCTCTTATATTATCCTGGATAGAGATTGAGCCCATCCTTCGAAGTGAGGTACCACAAGGATGGAAAAACAAGCACCACATGTGCTCACCATCACATTGGTACTAACTGACCAACACTAGGGTGTTCACATGGTAGTAATACTCATTGGGTGCCGGTTGGGAGCGGGTTGGGGGGTAAACCCACAACTAATGGAAGCGGAACACACTGTATGGGGGAGGGACACGCTTGTAGCCTGGGCTTGGGCGAGGCAAATGCATTACATGTAACCAAAATGTTTGTACCCCCATAATATCCTGAATAAATAAAAAAAATTTAATTAGATATGAATTAAATGCTTACCTGGATAGCACTGAACACAAGAAGAAATAGGAGTTTTAAGATCATTTGAGGGTCCAGAAAAGGTTTATTTAAGAGGCAGGACTGGATGTGAGGACGACTGGCTGTGACATCCGTCACCCCATTGATCGCCAGGGTGGATTCGGCTGATCTGGCTGACTAGGCGGGTGTCCCCTTCCTCCTGCACCGCTCCACGTGCATCCCTCTCGAAGCTGCGCGCTCGGTGGAAGAGGACGGCCTTCCCCGATAGAGGAGACCGTTCTTCTGTCAAGGGTATACGAATAGCTGCCCTCCACCGCTAGAACCTCCGAACAAGCTCTCAAGAGGCAGGACTTGAACTGAGCTTGGAAGCCTGAACCCAGTGAGATTAGTGGGGAGAAGACATTCTTGGGGGGATGTCGGGGAAAGGATGAGGAAGGCGTAGACCCAGGAAAATGGGAGAGCATGACACGCGTAGCACGGAAGAGGCAGGTGCTGAACTGTGGAGAGATGGTGAGAAACTGGCCTCACCAAAGCTGCGGGGAGCAGCGAGAAATAAAGTGTTCTGCTTTCGCAGGTGTGATGGAACCGGTGACCTTGAGCGCTGAGCACTGGTGATCGCCGATGGTGGTCCTCAGACACTATCGGGATCGATCTCTCAGGCACGTTGTGTGCGAGGCCCGTAGAATGATTCAAATAGAGATAGCTGGAGGCCCCAAATGCATATTATTTTGTTTCCATCGTTTTCCATGTGTTACAAAAGTACCATGCTGTCATGTAAATTCTTGGACTTAATTTTCTTGCTCAGCGTAATGCGGCTAGGATTTATCTGTCTTGTCGTGAGAGTTCACCGGGTCCCATTTACAACTACCCTGTAGGCGAGGTGAGGTGTCACCCCTGTGTTAGAGGTAAGGATGGTGTCACTCAGCATGGGGAAGGCACTTGTCCACAGACGCGCAGCTGGTAAGAGCGGAAGCTGGGATCCAGCAGGACGTCCCTTTGTCTCCAAAGTCCTCTTAGACTAAAGCAGCTTAACAATTTGGGATCACTAAATCCTTTGAGAATTTGATTAAAGCTGTAAGCACCTCTTCTCCAAATATGCACACAATTTTGCATAAAATTTGGAGAGTTCACAGACCCCTTAAAGCTCTTCCATGGACCCTCCAAGGATCCTCTAAGTATCCATAATCCCCCATTAGGATTGCATTTTTGGGGGGGAGGGGAAGAGAAGGGGGGCATGGGTGTGTGTGTGTCACAACAGGAAGGCTGGGGAGGGTGGGACTGTTTCTTTTCCATTCTCCAATTAGCTTCCAAATCTTTTTGGAGTCAGACAAATGTGGGCTTATGTCCCAGATTCAACTCTTACTCATTGAATCTGTTTTCTCTTCTGTCAAATGAGATGGTGACTATAAGAAGGTGTGCCTCATAAGGTCGTTGTGAGGATTAAATGGGATATTGCACAGAGTTGGCATATAATAAGTGCTCATTAAATGGTGGCTACCTTAATCACTTATTCGCTTATTTGCTAATTCAATAATAATTTACCGGGCACCTTGTATACGACAGGGAATTTTCTAGGAATTCATGGTGTGGCATCTTGGACAAGGCACGTGATGTCCTGGACATTCCACTGCCAGAGACAGATAAGGAAATGATAAACAGATAAGGAAATGTTAGGCAGACAAGAGCTATGGTTAAAATAAAGCAGGGTGATATTTTAAAAAGTGGTGGGAGCTCCTTTTGATTGAGTAGTCAGGGAAAAAAACGTGTCTTGTTTTGTTTCTGAGCAGGGACCCTGAAAGATTGAAGTGCAAGGCACCAGAGGAAGGCAGATGTTGTTGACAGAATCCTGAAGTAGGAAGAGCTCAGAGAACAATGTGGAGGCTGGATCAGGGAGCCGCAGGGGGAGGGGAGGAGAAGTCAGAGGGGTATCGGGCCATGAAATGTAGGGCCATGTGGACCACAATGAGGACTTCAGATCTTGTTCAAGCAAAAAGAGAGCATTGGAGGCCTTGGTGAGGGTTAGGGATATTAACTAATTTACATTTTAATAGAATTACTCTGACTTGGAGGGCAGTGAAACGACCATCGACCATCGGGACTATAAGAATGGAAGCATGGGGAGCAGTGAATGGGCTTTGCAGAGATCAATATGAGACATTTTTAAGTAAACTCAACCATTTCCATGATTCATGTCAAGGCTGTATTGAAGTTGAATATCACCGTAAAAAGCACACAGCTCAATACATTTTCACAAACTGAACACACACGTGTAATTGACATGCAGAGGAAGCAACAACAGAGTCCCCAGAAAGCCCCCTCTTGTCCCCTTCCAGTCACTACCCTCCCACTATCCTGACACCACAGGTTGATCTTATCTGTGTTTGAACTTCGTATAAATAGAATCATGATGCATGGACTCTTCCGCGTCTAGCTGCTTCCGCCCAACATTATGTCTGTGGGTTGCATCCATGTTATTGGGTGTAGCTACAGTTTGCTCTTCTCTGCCATTATTCTGCCATAATATTCCATTGTGTGAATCCCTCATGGCATACTCTATATCTATGTTGATGAACCTTTTATTATGAAGCCTTCTGTGAATATCCTTGTTCATTTTTTTGGTGAATGTACACACACATTTTTGTTGGGCTTATGTATCTGGGAGTGAAGTGGCTGGATCACTGAGTGTGCATATGCTGAGCTTCCGTAAACACTGCCCAGCAGTTTCCCAGGCAGCTACAAAACAGTGCCCCATTGTCCATGAGAAATACTTTCCAAGATCCCCAGTGGATGCCTGAAACCTCGGATAGTACCGAATGCTGTACATTCTACATTTATTCCTACACAATCACATCGTACAAGGTGAGTAGTGTATGCAGTGTGGACATGCTGGACAAAAGGGTGATTTGCATCCCAGGTGGGACAGAGTGGGATGGCGTGAGATATTATCATGCTATTCAGAAAGGTGTACAATTTAAAACTTATGAGTTGTTTCATTCTGGAACTTTCCATTTAATATTTTCAGACCACAACTTACCATGAGCAATTGAAGCTGCAGAAAGTGAAACCGCTAATCACAAGGAGTGTGATTCTTTGAGTATGATTCTTTGGTTGAGATGCCAGGGAGATGTGGCCAGGCTCAAGGGTATGGGTGGGGGTGATATTAGAAATATTTAACCACCTGCACAGTTTAGGGCACTGACCAATCACAGCAGACCTTGGCTGGGCAACGGGTTAACCCTTTAGTGGCCGGGTCCTGGGAAGGTGAAAGGGCAGCCTGGGGAGGAGGGTCTTGGGGAAGGCGGCTAATTACCAGGCTGGCGTGTGAGTGTTTAATAGTTTGAACACTGAGGTGTGTGCTGACTCTTATAACCCAGGGTGTGGGTATGCTTGGCAGCTCCGAGAGAGATATGGGGATGTCTTCACGGTATACCTGGGACGGAGGCCCGCGGTCATGCTGTGTGGGATAGAGGCCATAAAGGAGGCCCTGGTGGACCAGGCTGAGGACTTCTCTGGCCGGGGCAAAATCGCCATCCTTGAGACAGTCTTCCAGGGATATGGTGAGAGCCTCCAAGGCACTGGGAGGGCCGGGTGGAGGATGCATCAGGGTAGAGAGAAAACGGGTGAAGAAGGATCCAGAGCTTCTCTCTAATGTCCTCTGCAATGCACAATTCCCCACACTCCAGGCGTGTTCTTTGCCAACGGGGACCACTGGAAGACCCTCCGGCGATTCTCTCTGGCCACCATGAGGGACTTCGGGATGGGAAAGCGGAGCGTGGAGGAGCGGATTCAGGAGGAGGCTCAGTGTCTGGTGGAGGAGCTGCGGAAATCCAAGGGTGAGTCCTGGGGGTGGCAGGAAGGACAGTGAAACAGAGAGAGATGTGGGCGACCAGCAATAGAAAGCCAGAAAGGTATATGTGGACAGAACCAGAGGCAGACAAAGCCTGAGAGACCATCAGACAGAGGGACAGGGACAGGGAAAGAGACAGGGGACTAGAGAGGGACAGAGATTGGCAGGACAGAAACACAGACAGCCCGGGAAAGAGGGAGATGCGAGGTGTGTAGTGCCCAAGAACAACCTAAACATGTATACTTAGCAAGTAGGGTGCTATTTACTGGGCTCAGGGAAAGCAATTTATGGATTAATTGTAACTATCAAAGGCAAAAACAGAAATCATATAAAGGAAAGCAAAAAGAGAAAAGGAAAAACTACAGACAATTTGAAGATATTTAATTGTGTTTTTTCCCCCCCTTGGGTGAAGTGCTGATGGGCAAAGAGGCCAAGTGGGGGCATCTGTTCTTGGGCAGCTGGAAGGGCCATCAAAGAAGCACTTTCCATTGTTTTTTGTTTCTTTTATTAAAAAAGTTTTTTTTAGAGACAGGGTCTGGCTCTGTTGCCCAGGCTGGAGTGCAGTGGAGTCATGATAGCTCACTGCAGCCTCATACTTCTGGGCTCAAGTGATCCTCCTTACTCAGCCTCTTGGGTAGCTGGGACAAGAGGTGTGAGCCACCACACCTGGCTAAGTTTTAAAAAATGTTTCTATAGATGGGCGTCTTGCTATGTTGCCCAGGCTCATTTTAAACTCCTGGTCTCAAGTAATCCTCCTGCTTTGGCCTCCCAAGTAGCTAGAACTACAGGTGTGAGTTACCACGCTCAGCCCCTGTTTTTTAAAATTTTCCACAAGTGGGTGTTTATGGGACATATAGGTGACAGGGTCGTTTGATAGCATTTCCATCTCATTGATGCCATTTCTTTGTGAAATTTCTCAAGAGATTCTGGGAGGGAGAGGCAGAGACATGGGGGCAACAGGGAAACAGGGACCGAGAAACTGAGAAGAAAGACGGGAGGAGACAGACAGACACGGGTAGAGACACAGGAAAGGAGAAAGAGATCAAGATGGAGGCACCAAAACAAAGAGAAAGATGCTCGGAGATGTTTCACAAACACACAGGGAGAGAGACTCAGCGAGGCAGAAAGAAACAAAGGCAGAGAGAAATGGAAGCTGGGAAAATCAGAGACGCAGACAGACGAGCCTCAGGAAAAGCACTGCAGAGAAAGGAGAACAGACAGGTGAGACCCAGAGAGAGTGGCTGCAGCAGCCTGATGTTCTCGGGTGCTCACAGCCCACTCTTGATGCAGCCGGGGCCGGGGCTGAGCCTGTGTGCACAGAAAACGGGCTCAACTAACAGGTGCAGAGCAATCCCCAGATGCCCAGAGAGCCCCAGGTGTGGAGAGAAGAGACAAAGGGGGAGTCACAATAGGGATAGAGAGATGAGAGCTTTTAAATTTGCACAATGAATTGATTGCACATCTACTCTGTCCCATCTCTGCCCCTGGGACTTAACCCTCTTAGCTCCCAGATGCAGGGTGAGGACCAACGAACTGCACACACTCTATGGCTGGGCTGCTTGGGTCTGAATCCTGGTCCCCGTACTGAGCAGCTGTGCAACCTTGCTCAGAAATACATAACCTCTCTGTCTGCCCATCTGTAACGTGGAGGTAATAACAGAATTGTACCTGCTTTACAATGTTGTGGTGAGAGCAGATAAAACAGCACGTGAAGTGCTTAGAATAGGGCCCGGTGCAGAATGTGCACTGGTTTGCGTTAGGTGCTCTGGTTGTTATTCTTGTCTTTTTCATGACTGAGCAATGCTGGACAATGACACAGAGACAGCGTGGGGACAGCCAGAGGTTCCCCAGGCCTCGGAGTCCATGTCCATTGACCTGCCGCCTCCTCCTCCTCCTCCTAGGAGCTCTCCTGGACCTCGCCTTCCTCTTCCAGTGCATCACTGCCAACATCATCTGCTCCATTGTCTTTGGAAAACGCTTTGACTACAAAGATGAAGAGTTTCTGAAGCTGCTGGACCTGTCCTACCAGTCTTCCTCACTCATCAGCTCTTTCTCTGGCCAGGTCAGGGGGAGGGACAGTGACAGGGAGGGGGGATGAGGTGACATCCAGGGCAGGGGAAAGGATGATCTTTTTGGGGTCACAGAAATGCGGCTTATGGCTGGAAGAAAGGCTGGGACAGGTGGAGAGACAGGGACACTGAGACCTGGGGACAGGGACAGAGAGACTGAGGGAAAGGATGGGGGTGATGGGAGGCAGAGATAGAGAATTGGAGAAAGACTAAGAAAATGAGGCCTTGGGAGGGAGAGAAGATGAGCGGAAAAAAAAAAAAAGAAGAAGAAAAAGAAGGACAGAGATAACAGGATCCCCAGAGATAGAGTTGATACAAATGTGTTTGTGTGTTTGAAAGAGAGAGATGGGACTGAGATTTCTCTGTGTCACCTGCCTGAGGCTGACCTCACTGCCCCTCTTTCTTGCAGATGTTTGAGCTCTTTTCTGACTTCTTGCAGTTCTTTCCCGGCCCACACAGGCAAGTCTACAAAAACCTGCAGGAAATCAGTGCCTTTATTGGCCGCAGTGTGGACAAGCACCGGGAAACCCTGGACCCCAGTGCCCCTCGGGACCTCATAGATGCCTACCTGCTGCGCATGGAAAAAGTGGGGTTGGGAGATGGAAAGGGGAGGGAAGGGGAGGGAGGGCAAGAAGGGGAAGAAAGAAGAAGGGAGGGAAATGGGGAAGGGGAAGGGAGGAGGGATGCAGAGAAGATGGGGGGAGTAGGGAAAAGGAGGGGAGGAGATTCAGAAGGGAAAGAAAGATGAAGTGAAAGGAAGGAGAAAGTAAGGAGGAGAAAGGGATCATGGAGAGAGAGACAGAGTGAGATAAAGGCGAGGAAGAAATTTGGGGCAAGGGAAAAAATTACAGCAACAGGAGAAATGACCCCCAGAGGCAGAAGGAGACTGGGAGAAAAAAGAGAGAGACACACCAGAGATGGGAGAGAGATGGAAACAGAGCCAAAGAGAGGCCGAGTGAGACAGAGATAGACATGCAGGTTGGACATGCAGGGGACAGAGAAAAGCAAAGGTGGCCCGACAGAGTGAGAGACCCTGAAACAGATGGAGGGGACCCAGAGACACTGGCGTGTGCACAGTGAGGCCACAGCCTCCACTGACCCTCCCCTCCTCTCCCTCTGCACCCAGGAGAAATCCAACCCACACAGTGAGTTCAACCAGAAGAACCTCATCCTCAACACGCTCTCGCTCTTTTTTGCTGGCACTGAGACCACCAGTATTACCCTCCGCTACGGCTTCCTGCTCATGCTCAAACACCCTCATGTCGCAGGTGGGCCAAGGACAGCTAAATGGGGTTCTCTGACTCCCTCTGAGCTGCAGAAGTAGGGTGAGTTGTCCTGCCTGGATGAGAGAGGAGACATTAGTTTGTTATTCCAGAAGCACTGCAGGCTTTGGACCAGTCTCCAACTAAGCCATATCTTTTTTTTTTTTTAATTTCAAAAGATTGTATTATGTGCTATAAATGTTTTATGTTCCATAGATAGCCTTTGCAATGCTTGAGACCCAGCTGTAGGTGTGCCTGTCACCCAAATAGTGTTCATTGTACCCATTAGGTGGGGTTTTACCCCTACTATCCCCCCTCCCCCTTCTCCCTCGCCCCTGGTTGATCTCCACTGAGTTTTACTTCCCTCTGTGCATATGTGCGCTCATAGGTTACTTCCACTTTAATAGCGAGTACATGTGGTGTTTGCTTTTCCATTCTTGAGATACTTCACTTAGGAGAACAGTCTCCAGTTCCATTTGGTGTTTTTTCGGTGGATGCGTGGATGCATGCAGAATCTGTCGAATGGTTCTCTCACTGTTTTCCCTCATCACTTAAAGACTTTTTTGAGGGGGGAGGGCATTCTAAATTTTTTTCATTTGTACAAATTTATTGAGTATATGTGCAATTTTGTTACATGCATACACTGTGTAGTGGTCATGTCAGAACTCTCAGGGTATCCATCACCCAAATAATGTACCTTCTACCCATTAGAAGGTACATTCCAAGTCTCCACTGTCAATCATTCCACTCTCTTCATCCATGTGTACATGTATTTTAGCACCCACGTGTGGGTGAGAACATGGGATATTTGACTTTCTGTGTCATCACTTAAGGATTTACCCGTTCATCCATGCATCCTTTCATCTGTCATTAATTCACCCGCGTACTCACTGATTCCTTCATCTGTGACTCATGCAAGGAAATACACTTTCATCATTTATTTTTTTGAATTACTTGATCCATGAGTTGATCCTTTGCAACAGTGATATGTTGGGTGGACTATTTGTCATTAATTCACTGGCTCATTCGTTTATGCATGCATGCACCCATCCTTTTATAAACAAGGTTTCATTCCTTAATCCTTCCATCAATTGGTTTTTCAATTCATTCTATACCCATCCATACCTTCCTTAATTTATCCACTAAATAATTCACTCATTATTCATTCCTTATTTATTTATCATTCAATCTGCCCATTCATTTCTTTACTCATACTTCACTAATTTTTTCAATCCCTTATCTCGCCATTCATATGGTTATTGATTAATTATATTAGATTCGTTGATGTATTTATGGACCATCTATTAGCTAGTGAATTGGTAATTGATCCATCTATTGATTTATAAGTGAATATACACATCCATTTATTGGTTTGTTCATTCATTCATCCATGTTTCCATTCATGAACTGATCTATTCATTGATTGATTGATGTATTCATTCATTTATCCAGTTGTTCATGCATTAATCTATTGATTTCACTCTTATGTCCTTGGGAACCTAACACAGTGCCCCACTTATAATACATGGACAACAAATGTTAGTTCGTTTTCTACTCAGAGAGAGAGTTTCAGCACGTTTGTAGCCTAGAGTTCTTAATCTGAAATTCCATGTAAAATTGTGGGGTGTGTGTGTGTGTGTGTGTACCTGTGCATGTGGGGATAGAATCTATAACATTCATTACATCTAGAAGGGAAGAATTCTTTTTGCTTCCTCCCCCCTTCCCTCACCCCAAGCTGATTGCGCTGAGGTGTATCAATGATTTAACCTTTTAGCACAGGATTTTCCTGGCTCATTGGCCCATAGAAATCAGGAGATGTTTCTTTGAAATGGGTTCTCTGGTCCCCTTTTCTGTGCAGAGAGAGTCCACAAGGAGATTGAACAGGTGATTGGCAAACATCGCCCTCCAGCCCTCGAAGACCGGGTCAAAATGCCATACACGGATGCTGTCATCCATGAGATTCAGAGATTCTCAGACATTGCTCCCATTGGCTTGCCCCACATGGTCACCAAAGACACCCACTTCCGAGGGTACATCATTCCCAAGGTGAGACCAGCGGGGCTCCCGCATCTCTCCTGTGTGGGCATCCTGGATTCTCTTCATCACAAAACTCAACTTTTTGTTGCTTTCTCAATAGGGTCCCCTTGTTTTTGGTTTTCTTTTCTGGGTTTTCTGTTGTTGCTTGGCCAGGGAATGGGAATATCTTTTGATCTTGTGACCCTCCCTCAGGACACTGAAGTATTTCCCATCCTGAACTCTGCTCTCCATGACCCACGTTACTTTGAAAAACCAGATGCCTTCAACCCTGACCACTTTCTGGATGCCAATGGGGCTCTGAAGAAGAATGAAGCTTTTATTCCCTTTTCCTTAGGTAAGCTGCACCCGAGATCCCTTTCCCAGACACCAAAGTGCGGGTTCCAACTCCTCCTGAAAAAAACAATGATAAGTCCTTGTTTTTTGAGCACCTTCTATATTCTAATTGCTTATTTATGTGATCCCATTCCATCTTTACTGCTACCCTATGAGGTGGCTTCAGGGATGTGATTATATCCCAAAGGCACATCTTGGCAAGCAGGACCTTGGCCAAGTATTTTAGTCTCTCTAAACTTTAGTGAATTCATTTTCTTCAATAAAAAAATCTATTGAGCACTACACTGAGTCCAGTGTTCTGCTGGGGACTGAAGATAATGCATCAAACAAATCATATGGAAACGTAGCTCCTGCCCCAGGAAATTTGCTGAGCAGATGGGGATCCATCAAATAGTAACAAAATAATAATACGAGTAAGTGAAGTGATGCATTTAACATGGTTAGAACTGCCTAGCACAAAAATAAATGCTCACAAGGGCAATTATTACTATAATTAATCATAATCATGATAAGTGCTCTAAAGGTGGTGTGGGGAGCACAAAATAGGAAACACTGACTGATATTTGTGGGTCTGTGAGGAAGAGCTTTCCTGAGGAGCTGGCTTCCAAGCTGAGATGCTCATAGGCGGGTACCAATCAGCCACTGGAAAGAGTGTTCTAGGAAGAGCAAATGGCACGGGAAAGCCTAAAGGTAGAAACCTGATGACACATTTGAGAAACTATAAGAAGGCCAACGGAGACTTGAGTGCAGTTTCCAGAAGGACATAAATAAGGCAAAGAGCTCAGCTGGGCAGGGCTTTGAAGGCTGGGGGAGGAGTTTGGATTTATCCTCCAGCACTCGGGAGGTGGGCAAGGTCTTCACATGCTCTGGGAACCGTAGACCACCCTCACCCCCACGGCCGTGGACACCAATCCCAATCCCAATTTTTTTTTTTTTTGAGACAGAGTTTCACTGTGTTGCCCGGGCTAGAGTGCCGTGGCGTCATCCTAGCTCACAGCAACCTCAAACTCCTGGGCTCAAGCGATCCTTCTGCCTCAGCCTCC